CACACACCCACACCCACACCCACACACACACACACACACACACACACTTACTTCTCAGGGGCGGCAGTCCGGTTACTTATCACCAGCAAGCTTTAACCAAGGTATTCCAAAATTACAAGTCATTTGCCACCCTCCCACTTCATGTACCCAATCCCCCAATCGGGGTCAATGGCGAGAATGGTGGTTAACAGCCGGGAAAAGTGATTTATAGCATGAACACGTCTCAGAGAACTCACATGTCCACGAGCCCTGGCATAATCACTCGATCCCCATAATCGAGGACCATAATCTTCCCGCCAAAGTCGCAGTGATCTGTCTCCGTGACAGTCATAATCTTCCCGTCACTGACTCTGACTGTATATTACCAGAAAGACACAGAAAGGGGGGGCAGGTAGATGAGGAAGGAGATGAATGCAGCATTATTAAGCACATCAAAAGATTCAAAAGAGAACGCCAAATTCTTTACTGCTTTGAGAAACTCATGGGCCCCAAAGATTCAAAAGAGAAATCTTAATTTTTTTCAACTTTTTTGAGAGACACGGCCCCCAAAGATTCAAATTTCGGAACTTCCAAAAGAGAAAGAAAGCTAAGTTCCTTAAGTTGAGGCACATGCACAAGTTAAGCGGAAAAGAGTCAAAAGAACAAAGTCCTGTGTGAGTGGAGCATTTTTTTTTTTTTTTCCCCGGGACTGTGTGAGTGCAGGATGCAAGTAGAGAGAGTGTGTGTTTTCGACTTCTGCTTCTGTCTTTGATTTATGTTTGTCTTATTGAAGTCACTGTGTACATATTACATAACATAACAGAAGATGTGTGAACTTCACCGTGCGAGGAACGAGCCCTCACAAGCCCTTTCAGACATCACATGTTCTGGGCAAAGGCCCCCAGCAAGCCGAGTGCCCGCCCTAAGTGAAGGCGGGCCTGAATATTCGTCAGAGGCCAAAATTTTGGCACGGGTATTCAGGCGCTTGCAGCACGCCAGTTGGTTGAGTAGACGCGTGAGCCCCAGTAAGCTGTGCCATACAGTTCGCCCGGGCCTTGACAGTTGCGCCTGGGCACGTGCCACGCACACACAAAGCAGGGCTGATACATTGAGAAGCAGGCCACCGGCCTATGCAAATGCAGTACTGTCGACGCACCTACCACGGAGCCCTGCGCAGATGCAGCAAACAGCCCAAGTCCGGAAACTCAGGTCGTGCCCAACTGTAAAGGGGGCCCAGGCCCTCAACTGTAGTCTCGGGCCTGGGCGCAGGGACTGAGGCCCAACCGGAAGCTACTGGAAGCTTCCAGCCAGGCCACACGCAGCATCCAGGGGGCTGCCACTTCCACAAAAGGAATGAGGCAGCCCAGGCCAGGCATTCTTGCCAGCGTTGGCAATGCGGACATGCTGCTGCGCTGCGGCCAGGGGCGCTGACTGGGCGCGTAGTGGTGAAGTGGGGTGCTGCAGGGCAGCAGTGCGCTGGCAGCCATAGACGGGCTGCTGGGCGCTAGGGGGTAATGTTGGCGATCTGGTGGTCTTCAGGGAAGGAGGCAAGTGTGGTTTATCAAGGTCTGATGAGGGTGACGAGATACGTACCTGGTACATGAAGAGAGGTCGGCTATGGGTTGCCATCATGTACATTGGTATTCGAGAGTCGAAGTGAGCCTGTTGCATGAACACAGTTGTAGGTAGGATAGTCGAGTAGAGTAGGCTGGGCGCTGGGCACCAGACAGAGAGGAGCGACTTTGGATACTGTGTTGGTGTGGCCTGAAGGTTTGAACATTGGCTCATTAGTTCATTGTATTGCTGTATTTGGATGGATTCTCGGTGCAATTATGCTCTCTCCTTGTACACGCTGCCAAATGAGGCAGGCTCTTTCCATATAGGAAAGAGCTCACTGCCTGGCCGGGTATTCAGGCACTCGCATGCTGGCGGCAGCGCTGCTGGAGCTTATGCTCGTGGGCTGCTGCTGGCGCTGAGAGGCGAGGTGCAAGCGCGTGCGGTCATGCAGGGAGCAAGGCGCTGCTGAGGGAAGCGCCATAGCCCAGCCTCCATAGCTGGTTGGGCTTGGACTACAGTGAGGCGCAGGGGTGGTCTTCGGGTGTACAAAGGGAAGACGTGGGGAGTAGACGAGGAAGAGAGAGAGAAGGATGATGATGATGATGATGTGAGGGCACATACCTGGTATTGGCGATGGTCTGCGTGGGCGACATCTTCAAGTACTTCAGAGGCTGCTGATGTCAACAGTTGCATTGTTAATTAGTAGGCCAGTAGTAGCTGTGTAGGGAGTAGGCGGGGCGCCGAGCGCCAAGTACGGAGATAGGGACTGGATACATATGTTGGTGCTGGCGAGAGCAAGCTCTCATTGACATTGGTTTTCAGTGCTACGATTCTCAATTGGTGTCATATTGGTGCAATGCTGCTTTCTGAACACTGATACGATCTGGCTTTCAAATTTCAATGTGATTGTGCAATCTGAATATTGTCATCTCGCTATTGCTCATTTTCCTTGCAGTAAACATAAAATAAAATAAAAAAATAAAAAAATAAAAAAAACATAAAATGGGTGAACAGTACCAAACCAAAGGCCAAAGAAGAGAAAAAAAAAAAAAAAAAGCCAAAGAAAACGACAAGATTGATCACTATTCGGAGCACAAGAATGGTTTCCCCACATTTTGTCCTCCAGGGCTGCCCACATTTCGTGCTGCAGTTTCACAGAAGCTGCCCCCTGCCTGTGTATTCCTGTGACGTAATGGAGATTCTCATTAAAAAAAAAAAAAAAAAAAAAAAAAAAAAAACCATTAATAATGAGAAGGTTGACAGCAGAGGCAAACTGTGGCAGATATTCTGGCGTAGGATCAGTACAGGATTGCACGCAAGCATACAAAACGCCCATCACAGGGAAGTTCTCCAAGCATAGCACAGGCAAAGACTGCCAAAAACAGCTGGAATAATGCAGTTAAGAGTCTTAAGACAGAGGGGAGCGTGACCACGTTCGTCGGTTTCTGTTTTGTTTTTTTTTTTAACCTTTACCCTTCCCCTTCCTCCCCCTGCTCCCCCTTTTTGTTTTTCCGTTGGTTTCTGTTTTGCATTTCCTTTGTTTTTTTTTTGTTTTTTTAAGTAACAAGTAAACGCGCCGCGGCTACGCCGCGGCAGGGGGAACGTACGTGACTGAAGAAATGAGTTTTCCATCACAAATGAGAACGGACACAGAAATGTATGAAGTTTTGAGGCTGCGACACTCTCTCTCTCTCTCTCTCTCTCTCTCACACACACACACACACACACACACACACACACACACACACACACATGTGTAGCAGTGTATATTTAGCGGACGATTACACACATTCCATCGATTGGATGAGCAAAATCGGAATGAATATACACTGCCA